CATATTCTTTCAAATCTCAGTGAATTTTGAAGTGGGTAGCAAGCCATCTGGTTAGATCTCACCGATATATTCACTTGAATTTGATGAAAAATTGTAACCTAAAATAGTTTTGACAGTCGTTCATTTCATAATCAAGGTCGGGAGGAAAACTAATTAGTGGATGTTGTAGAACAAGTTCTGCTCTATCGAACTGATAAGGTCACCATTCTCGTTCATTACAACTTTCTGATCGAATTTTTCATACACTGTTCCTCTACATTGTGAATCAGTGGGCAATATAAAAATGCGTGAAAAGTTTTTAGAACTCTAAGGATTCTGGTGCGATTTTTCAAGAGGAATCCAAATATGTAATTGGTTTTAAAATTCGAATGGATAATCATGGACTATGATCAGTTTTTCGATAAAAATGTGACTTGAATTGATTGGAAAAAACATAAAATGCATCAATAGTATTTGACCCGTATCTCTCTAAAAATAGAGACCAAATATAGAAATTTTATAACGAAAATGATCAGCGCAAAAAACTCTACAAACTCTGAAATTTTCACTGAATTTGGACGTGGTCGCCGGATGGTCCTGGCGACATCCCATGGAAACACCCATATATATATCTCGAGTGGTGTTACAGATCCAGAAATTCGGGGATCTCAGAGATCTCCATGTAGATATTGCAATATACTAACGACATTACAACATAATATTGAATTATTGCACAGCAATGATATTCTTTTTACTATCTCGAACACCATAGACAGATGCCGCATCTCTACAAGAGATACTGTATCTCTCATCACATCTCTTGTATATATAACATCTCTGTGGAGATCTCTGAGATCCCTGAGATCCCTGATTTCCTGGATCTGTAACCCTGCTATATATCCCCTTGTTCCAATCACTCATGGCAATCCCTTTGTGTAATTTCTTAATGTAGATTTGAGTTTCATATCGATGAACATATGTCCGTAATAGTAGGAAACAAGAGAAAAATGAGTCCGGGACGAAATCTCTCGACTAGGATAACTTTTTGTATTTGGAAAGTATTTAATGCTTTGACGGTAAAGTGTATGCATTTCGACACGTTTAAATGGTTTCATCCATTTGCAGGATATGTTGAAAGGTGTGCTGAAGTAGCAGGAAGCATGATGGATTCTGGAGAATGGCATGTTTTTTTGTGGATAGTTGAAGTCAAAGAAAATACAAAGTTGGTTATAGTCGCTGGGGCCTCAATCCTTAAAGTCTTTTAAATGTGGCGCCCTGACTTCAGTCATGGTCAACAAGTCTGTGAAATGGATAGTCTTGAAGACGGTCTTCCTGCCGAACCTGCTGCGAGTTGTAAAGCTTTGAAAGATTCGTAATGTGAATTCCTGAATTTCGTCAAAGTCCGTCAGTGTTCTTGTCAGTTAAAGCGAATATCATAAACCTAGTGAAAGTGCTCAAATATATATGACTGTTGGTTGCAGTGTCATATAGTCAGCGAAAGTCCTAAAATCTTTAACTCTCCCAAAGGTTGAGACGCGATGTCAGTTGGTGTGCTCAATTTTGTTAATTGGCAAGGGCATGAAGACAGTGAAATTCCTCAAGTGTAGTGATTTTCTAGATTCACAGTAATGAAGTCTATGAAAGTTGTAAAAGTTGAAAGTTTCTTAAATAGAATGTGATTAATTTAGTGTGAGTTCTGGGGTCTTCATTTTTCGTACAACCGGTATTATGCTGTGCGTCTTATTGCTATTGTCTTCATGTTTTCCTCAGAAAGGCTGAATGAAAAAGCTAGCCTTTGTCCTATTATCTTTATGTCTTCGAAAATCATCGTCACAAGTTCAGTCTTAGTCATCCAGTCCTTATGTTTTTTTTTGAGCAAGAGTCGTAAAGCCAGTCTTTTATCTCATAATCTTGACGTCTCTCAAAGCTACTACCATGAAGTCAGTTAAAGCTTTGAAGTCTTCGAGTCTCTCAAAGCCATTGCCATGAAGTTAGTGAATGCCATTAGGTCTTAAATCTTGTTGAAGTCTGAGGTATGATGTCAAGTTGAGTCCTATAGTGATGAAAGCCTTTTGTGTCTTGAAGACAAGGCCTTTTCTAACTTCTGCTGTTCATATTGCTGTCGAAGGCAGAATGTTAATATCATTTAGAGTCTTGTGGTCTTTATTTTCGTTACTTTTGAAGTGTATTTTTCGTGTTTGCACTTTTTTTTGGACCTTTTACCTTATCATTTGGGGAAAATATATCTTGCAGTGTGAAGAAATAAATATCTACCGTTTTTCTCAGTAAGCTTTCTACGTAGATATTTTTGTTTATGTTTTCAAACAGACGATTGATAAAATGTTCAACTTATTTTTGAATCGATACATCATTGCATTCTCTTCAACAAATGAACGTGGAAATTCTTGTGACTTATGCTAATAAATTTATAGAGAGCTAAAAAGAAATGTGTATGAGAGTCTACAGTTTTTCACGGTTCGGAATCGGTTTTTTTGTTCAACTAAACAACAACCACATTTCGCAGACTTTTCATTCTTTCCGACTATTTTCGAAGTCAAGATGATCATTTTATCTAGATAATCGTATTTAGAAATGAGTATTTGTACATATGATTTGATTTAAATAGTAAATGTGTTATTTTAAAGCCTTTACATCGACACTAAAGTGAGAAACTTCAACATCTGATACATGTTTTATTTTAGTTTTCTCCAAATCTATCAACACATGCTAAGAGGACCTTTTGTTTTTGGCTATTGGACAAAATATCAGGACACATATTTCGGAAAATTAAAGATTTTATCATCTACCTTTATGGAGATATCTGGAAAATAGATTATGTTGCAAACATTCCGCGACATTCAATGTTTGTTTCACATTCTTTCGCTAATGAAGACTTCTTCGTATTTTCCATCTTTCCTTTCTGATCAATCTTCTGTACAAGTCGATCCAAGGGACCCTCAAACTGCCTAAACTTCCACTATATTTCGTTGCAACCTGTTGACAAGGATGATAGTGCTTGTACTTGGATGAAACATAAATCAACTAAAAAGAAGAAAAACGTCATTCTTTCAATGACCTGACGATTTATTACAGCTCTTCGATTCTTATAGTAAAATTTGTCATAATCCATTCAGGTTTTTAGGTACTGAAAGATGTAAAAAGGAGTCGAAATCCTCTCGGGAACAGAGTATTCCTTTTAATTCTCAAAGTTCTAATTCTTTTACAAAACAATTCCACCTAAATTGAATAACTTTTATTTCATGCACACAGAACAATTACTAGACTTCTCAAATAACGATCGTAACATGAGAATCGAAAAGGAGATACCCGAATGCTATTTCAGTGTTTGAGAATACATGATGGGTTTCCAGAGATTTTTTCAGGAATACAAGAGTTTTCTAAAGATTCAAAAACCTTGAAGGATTTCCGACAGATGTTCGGTAAACATGCTTGATTTCTCGGACATGCTCCTACTATTTCCGATCCTCGGAAACCTAGACACACTTTTGATAAAAAATTGTCGTAAACGCAAAGGATTCTGTGAAGGTTTTAAAATCAGAAGAGCTTTCAGGGGAAACCTTTTGGGCTTCGAAAATGGCATGAGGACTTCTGAGAATACGGTTGCTAGTTTCCGGACATATTTATCAAGAACCAATAGGTTTCCGAAAGGTCGGAAATTCTGAAGATATTTCCAGAAACTTAACATGAGTTCTGAAATCTTTTCAGATAAGTTCAATGTTTTCGAAAGGGTTTCCAAAACATCGGAAACCCATTTATTTCCTTGGGAAACTTTTGAACGGGTTTCCCAGGTTCGAAAATCCATTTTTTGGCTGTCGGAAACCCTTAAAAGGTTTCATATAGGGACAAACTCGGGAACCTAAAAGGATTTCCGAAGTTCGAAAACGTTTCAAAGGCTCTCCAAGTCCTCGGAAACCGATAACGGTTTCCGAGTTTGTCCCTATATAAAACCTTTTAAAGGTTTTCGAGAGTCAAAAAATTGATTTCCGAGGTCCAGAAACCCTTTAAAAAGTTTTCAAGGGTAAAAAATGGGTTTTCGAGCTATCGGAAATCTTTTTCGACTGGTTTCTGAGAATACCTTTCTTTTAGAGAGTGGCTTACCTTCTCCCACTCCAACTATGCGGTTCTTTCTCAGAGAACTTGTTTCAAGTAGCATAAAAGTCAATCATTATATACAAATAATTTCAGTCACTTCAACTGCATGACTAAACCGAATTGCTTACATAGTAATCAGTAAGAAGATGGACCTGAAGGTGCTCCTATCTCATTTTGTTTCTCTCACCCTATATTGCAATTGTTCTTAGAAAAGAATCAAAATTTATTTAAATCATAACTCAGGTTGGATAAGGCTGGTCTTAAACGACTGCAAAAATCATAAAACGACCGTAGATGGACATGTCTCTTGCAGGTATTAGGGGAAGTTTGGGTGAGTATGCGTAAAGAGACAATTCACGTATTTACATTCACAAGATGTGGATAAAGTGCTTGCTGTTAACATCACCCTCATCCTTGTCAAGGATACTTTGTCTTCGGATAAATTATTAAGAATAAAGTTACTACTCGAATGCAGTGCTTGATTTATGAGATCATAAAGATTTCATACAGACAACAAGAGTATTTTAATCACTTCTTTGGATGAAAAGCAAAAAAAACGGACAGAAGATATATTTTTCTTTTTTTTTTGATTATTACAAGACATTTTCAGTGTTTTTTGCTTCAGATATGTTTTGTAAAATTGTTTCAATAATTATTATCCAGCAAACATGATGAAATCAATTGTTTGTGATGGAGGCATGATGCTAAATGGTTGATTCGAACCGACTGTACCTGATTGCCCTGTGATATTATGTGTATGGTTACCACTTTCAGCAATCCTAATACCCGTCATTCCCATGTGGATCACATGCGCATGTCTTCCGTTATCATTTCCCGCGCCACCACCAGATCTCATGCTGTACGAACCACCGGAATATGGAGCATCACCAGTTGCCCCACCATGGTTATGGCCTGGATCTTCGATACGATGAACATGGTTGCCTGCTTCATTCATGACAAAACTTCCTTGATCATGAGCATGAATAGGGAGATTATCTATTGAAAGAGTTTGACTCGCAGCTCCCCTGTGTCGAATCCCAGCTGTTTCATTTCTACGAGGATCTAGACCCAGCGGAAATCGACCACGAAAGTCAGGCACATTGAAAGTTGTTTCTCCATTTCCAACACCAAATGATACACGGATCACTGAAAACAAACCCTGATATTCTTCACGTGATAGAGCTTGTCCATGACAGAAGACCCAATCCTTTGGTAAAGAGGATCGACTGCCTGTATATAGTTTAATTTCACCTATAAGTGGCCATGAATACATATTCTTTGATGGTATGGGTCTATTGATAGTATTTATTGTTCGTACAATAGCTCCGCTTCCACTCTCTGCGATCAGTTGCTTGGCAACGATTGCTACTTGAAGTCGATCGGTGATGTCAGTGAGTTTATAAACATGAAACGATTTTGGAATGAACTTTTGACCAGTCGTTTCAGTTTCAATTGCTTGTTGACTCAAGAAATTCCGAATTTCAGTTCCTGAAAATATGGATTGTGTTGTTTTTGATTTATCTTCTGAAGATGAACTCGATGATGCGCCACTACCTCCCAATTTAAATAAGCCCAAAATTGAGATACCACCGCCGCCTGAAGAACTAGATGATCGTGCGTATGCCTCATTAAAATTGTAATAGTCGTCAGAAAAATTATGGCTCTTTGATGCACTTTGATTGTAAGTGAAGACTTTATTTATTTCATTTGTAATCATGTCTGGATTCAAGTCAGAAGATGACCAAACTTGATTGTACAGTGATGCATTAAGTAGTGTCTCTTTAGAAGAAGCAAATCCTAATAATAGAAAATAATCGATCAAACTCAAGAAGAATTATTCCATGCATATGTGTACCTTGTTGTAATAATGAAAAAAATTGATCATCTAAGCCAGATGATAGTGATGACATATTTGCATTTGCATTTTCCATGTAAATCATTTTCTTCACATTCATTAGATACGTACTTGAAAATTTTGATCCTTGATTTCGATGAATGTACTGTGCATTACTGTTGCCACCATCAGCAATTGTTTTGCTGAGTACATTATTCAAATGGTCGCCGGTGATGGAAACCATATTTGTCGTGACTTGTTTGAAACCAGAAAAGTAAAATGCTATCTCGATTTCATAATATCCATCGATAATCTTTTTTACAATGTCTCTTGCATTTTCTGCTGAAGAACATTGAAAACGACATGTCATTATCAGCTGATTTGGATTTAAGGCTTTGTATGGATGAACACCTTCAACAGGTAAGTTTGTGCTTCGGACGATATAGGCTGTTAGTGAATCAATCATCAATGGAACCACATCCCAGTATTTTGCGTACTGAGCAATGGAGATAGGATACTTTTTCATGATTGCTCTTCTAGCTAATTCTTCAACATCTTCATTAGTTAAAACCAATTTGAGTCTGATCTCACTATTTACTGTAATTGCCCATTCATCATCTCCATTTTCTGTCTGCAGTGGTACCATAACAGGAATGAAATAGAAAATCCACTTTTGAGGTGTTTGAACATTTTCATTTTCATTTGACATAGAATTATAGACATAGACTTGATTACCTTGATAATTGAAGGCTGTTAGCACTTGGCTATTGACAATAGCTGTGGCCAAACTTAATTTTCTATTCGACAGAATTCGAGTTGTATTGTTCTCGATCACTTTTGTTTGTAATGTCGTCTTATTTGTACTCAACTGCATGGTGACAATATCGATATTGTAGATCGAAAGAAGAATGAGAATTGTGTATTTTCTCATCATTCTCTACTGGATTTCTCGAAGTGATATATCTAGAATCAGCCAAAATGAATGTTGATTATCTACATTTTGTATGAGTGAGTAACTGAAAAAAAACGTGTAAGTATAGGTGGATGACATAAAGTCCTTCTTACCCGCTTCTCGAAGCATGCACACCATTCATCGATACTCATCTACCTACTAACTCATACGTTGAGTTCTCGTTCGTCTCAAATTTAGTGCTGATTCACCAGGGATATGTTTGTGACAAAAACTCTTTTACTGACATGTAGATCATTTTTCCAGGGTTTTACATTCATTCTGAATAATACAATTATTCTGCTCAATAATAAAAGTATAAAGGTCAACATTACTGCATAGGAGCGAATAATTTGAGGACTTTT